CCTGGCGGGTGGCTTCTGTTGGTATCGTCGGCTTGATCTTCGTTGTTTCATCGCTGTTCTCGAACGCCATTAGCACGCTCGCTCTGCCAATCATTCCCGTATTCGCCGTCGTTTTCTTCGGTGATAAGATGAACGGGGTGAAGATTCTGGCCATGTTGATTGCTATATGGGGGTTTTTATCTTATCTTTATCAGAACTATTTGGATGATTTAGAGCCTAGGAGGTCACTGAAGGATGGAAGTGAGACAGCTGATTCTTTGCTTCTTGATGCTGAAACTGCTTGAGGAAATTCTTATTAATTATTTCAGTGTTATTAATGTAAATATGAAGCTTTGATATTAGTCATGTAAATACATTAAAACTTTGTTGTATGTATATAAAAATTATTACATAAAAAATATCACTTATTGACTTTAATAGAATGATATACACTTTCTTGAGCTCTTATTCTGTGCGAACAGCACAGTGCGGTGTCCAATGAAAATGCGACACATGGAAATATGGGCCCCACATTATAGTATGAAAATAATTCTTTAACAGATGAGTAAATCTAAAGACTCTGGTTCATCGATTATGTGGGATAGAAAGGCTACGAATATTTTTTGTGACCTATGCGTGAGGGAAGTCGAATTGGGAAATCGACCCACAACTTTTTTTAATAAAGAAGGTTGGCATAATATCACTGATAAATTCAAAGAAATAACAGGAAGAGATTATGATAGGATGAAACTAAAGAACAAATGGGATCAATTAAAGAAGAACTGGAAGCTTTGGAAGGAGCTTAAAAGGGGATCAACTGGATTGGGATGGGATCCAGTCAAACGGACAATTGATGCACCTGAGGAATGGTGGGCAGAAAAGTTAGCGGTATGAACATCACTATTTCAATTAAATTTTACAGACATATGTTTGGAATTTTGATTGGATTGTTTTTTTTAATTACAGGTTGTGCCCGTGGCAAAAAAATTCAAATTTAATGGAATTGAACCAGCCTTGGAGGAGAAATTGGATGGCATGTTTACTGGTGTTGTAGCAACAGGAACTCATTTTTCCACCCCTAATGAGCAGGGTGTTGCAAACCTAGCTGAGGATATAGA